GCGACTGCTCTGAGCCTCTGCTGCCAGACTGTGGCTGTCAGTAGGACATCCACTGAGGGCTCCCGGACTGTGAGAGGGGCAGGCTGGGCTGAGGGAACCCCACCCCCTAGTGCACGAATTTCGTGCACTGGGCCTCTAGTATTTTATAATTAACTTAAAACAATAACTAATAATAGAAAGGAGGAATTTCCTCCAGAAGAATATCTTCAGGGTCCCAACTCCTGGACTGTGAGAAATAGATGCTCAGTATAGTATTGATGCCTGGTGGGACCCACTTAGCCTAATTTATAGAATCTCTCCTTAATAATTGACATAACTTGGGAGTGATTATTTATCTTATGAGCAGATTCTTGGGTATCTACAAAATAATTTAGAGGGGGGTAAAAGAGGGTAAAATGGGAAATATCTGTGATACTATCAACAATGAAAAGTATATTTAAAAAATAAAATGAGCCCTAGCTGGTTTGGCTCAGTGGATAGAGCATCAGCCTGTGGACTGAAGGGTCCCAGGTTCAATTCCAGTCAAGGGCACAAGCCTGGGTTGCGGGCTTGTTCCTCAATGTGGGGGGCAGGGGGCAGCCAATCAGTGATTATCTCTCATCATTGATGTTTCTATCTCTCCCTCTCCCTTCCTCCCTGAAATCAATAAAAATATATATTTTTAAAAAATAAAATAAAATGAAAAAAAATAATTTGTCACGCAGCCCTTAAATTGCAAACTTCCCTTGTGTATGCAATGATTTATACCTATACAACATCTTAGGAGCACATGTTTGCAAGACAACTTTTTGTTGTTAATACTCACCTGAGGATATTTTTCCATTGAATTTTAGGGGGAGTGGAAGACAGAGGGAAAGACAGACAGAAACATAAACACATTGATTGGTTGCCTCCTGCAGGAGCCCCGACCAGGGCCCAGGCTGTGGAGGAGCCTACAACCAAGGTTCGTTCCCTTGACCGGAATCGAACCCAGGACCCTTTGGTCGGCAGGCCAAAGCTCTATCCACTGAGCCAAGCCGGTTAGGGCACAAGACAACTCTTGATTCTTCACAGGTCCTTAGTATGTACAAATGTTCCAAATGCCGTACCTTCTGCATTAAATTTCAATTTTAATACAATATTTATGTATCACTTTGCTCCTACCCATGTACTGGACAAACTGATACAATCGAAGTTATGGAAGGTATAGTGCTCCCACACCAACAAGGCGCTTTATTACACTACCTTTAATTAACAACTCTCGAATACTAAAAGGAAATTCATTGATGGGGGTGGGGATATCCTATATTACTCACATAAGTACTTGGAACCCTGCAATAACAATATAGAGGAATAGAGGAAGAACTAGGAATTGTAACAAGAATTCCCAAATCAGGCTTCCAGCTGACTCCTTCAATGTCGCTTCACAGTCCCTGGCCCCTGGCACTTTGCCAGGCTCTCTAATTCTTTCCGGTAGTGAAAACTACAGGAAGCTAAAATTTCAGCTTTTTAACCTGGTGTTTCCTTTTCTCTTTAGATTGGTATTTTGCTTAATTCAAAAGCTGCCTACTTCAAAAAATGACTGGTGTTTTTACTTTTATTATGATAGAAATGAAAAAATGAACCATTGATAGTCACATTATTTTTAGTTTATAGAACTATCAGCTTCGAAGTTTAAGCTTTAATACAAAGTGAACATCATGTTCTCTTGCTACCCAAGTGTGTGCTTATCATTGTGTCTATGAAATTTATAGGTTCCTGGTATAAATTTACCCGTCAATCAACTGACGTATTTCTTCGCTGCAGTCCTCATTAGTGGTGTTGTACATGAAATTGGACACGGGATAGCAGCCATTAGGTAATGATATTTACCTTTTTATTTCTACTACATGCAAAGCAGCTTGCATTTAGGAGATTTTATTACTAAAATCTGCTACATTTGATATTTTTCTTTCTGTGCATGCTACCCAGTTTTATCCATAATAATTATTTTGAGGTACCTTCTCTTTTGCAGAGGAGATTTATATATTAATGAATATGCTCACTTAACCGTATGTATAGCTATAATCTGGGTCTTTCTATCCTTTGCCTTCTACCAGCATGGTTATATACTCATGGTACTTCATGATTTTCATCTAATCCTGAAACCTAATCTTTCTATTCATCATTGTGTCAGAATGAAACCTTTGCATTGCTTTCTTAGTACTTTCTTTGGCTTATCAGTTGAAATACTTTCCTGCTTTAACTCATGGCCTCTGCTAACTAGAGCAAGAGCATTGAAAGCTCTGGGTTTGTTAACAAATTTCATAGCCTATCTAAACACCGAAGAAGATAAGGGAGGATGAGAACTGGGACTTCCTTCAAGTATCATACCCTCTTTTTGTTGTGACTACCCAAATGTATCATGATTATAGCTATTTTAAAGGTTCCTAAACCTATAAAATCATGATGGGCGAGAAGGTGAGTCACAACTCCCCTTCACTCCCACTGATAATTACTGCCATAAGGAGTACACATGCTGATGGGGATGTGTTTTATTCCTTCGGTGTATGGACCTGATTAAAGGTTTTAGATGAGAAGATTTAATCCCTTATTACTTTCCACTTGCTTATGAACAAGAGTCTATAGACTGGCAATAAACCCTCATCTTGACAGAGCACATACTACTACACAGATGTGCTATGTAGTGGTTTAAGTGGGTGGCTGCCCTTTTTTTTAAATCTCTTTCACCTTTGCTTCCACATTTTTAGCCTTGCATTCCTAAGGGTTTTACATATAAAAGAATTGTTATTAGCAGTTTAATAATTCACAGTATAATGTGGTTAATTTTTTTAAAAATATATTTTACTGATTTTTTACAGAGAGAAAGGGAGAGGGATAGAGAGTTGGAAACATCGATGAGAGAGAAACATCGATCAGGTGCCTCCTGCACACCCCCTCCTGGGGATGTGCCCGCAACCAAGGTACATGCCCTTGACTGGAATCAAACCTGGGACTCTTCAGTCCACAGGCCGACGCTCTAGCCACTGAGCCAAACTGGTCAAGGCTGGTTAATTTTTTTTATAAAATCACAATCGCCAATATAAAGTGAATTATACAGTCTTCTGATGTATTTAGTACTAAGTGATAGCACAGTGTATTTATATAGTGCTTTTTTCAGAGTAACTATTTGGTCTTAGGAGGCTGTTAAGTATAGTTCCATTTTTAGAGAATGAATTGATATATAGTTCTCCTAAGGAAAGTTTGAGCATAATGCATTTTTAACAGTACCTCATTTAACGTGAATAAACCTCTATGTTCATTTATAATAGCAGAGACAGCCCTAGCAAGTTTGGCTCAGTGGATAGAGTGTCAGCCCGAGTACTGAAGGATCCTGAGTTCGATTCTGGTCAGGGGCAGGCACGTACCTTGGTTGTAGGCTCGTTCCTCAGCCTTGGTCGGGGCATGTGTGGGAGGCAACCAATCGATGTGTCTCTCTGACATAGATGTTTCTTTCTCTCTGTCTCTCCACCTCCCTTCTACTCTTTCTAAAAATCAATGGAAAAATATCGTCGGGTGAGGATTAACAAAAAACAAATACTAGTAATATAAAAGCTAAGACAAATATAAATATTTAGATAATGTAATTATCTACTGGGTCCTCAGAAAATTCAGACTAAACCATAAAAATGTTTTTTATTTAGTTTCTCATAGAAATATTAAACTTTTCATTATATATATATATATATATATATATGACTAATTTCAAGCTATTTGTTCAGCATATTTGTTTCTAAGAATTTTCAAGTTAAAAGTCTATTTCAGAATGTCATTTTATAAAATGCAGTTTCATAGATGACCAAATATGTACGTTATTGTAAAATTGTGAGATGTCGATAAATGATAGCTAGATAATCATATATGTAGGATAACTTTTTGACTGTCCAGAGAGACTTGTTTTTCAAGTAAGAATTTGCACTACAGTGGGAAGTACTAAAATTACGTACATTATTAATTTGACAAGTGCAATACTAGTGCTAAATTTCTTTCTCTTATGTGATTTCTTAGGGAACAAGTTCGATTTAATGGCTTTGGGATTTTTCTCTTCATTATTTATCCTGGAGCATTTGTTGATCTGTTTACCACTCATTTGCAACTTATATCACCAGTCCAGCAGCTAAGGATATTTTGTGCAGGTAACAGATTTAAATGTTTTTATTCTTCTATGTGTTAGTGGTTTTATGGAAAATACTCAAATCACAAATGAAAGTATCTCATCTTTCGGTTGATAAATTCAGTTTATGAGAATCTCAGTCAAAAGTAGTAGAGCAAGCCCTAGCTGGTTTGGCTCAGTGCATAGAGCATCGGCCTGCGGTCTGGGGGGTCTTGGGTTCGATTATGGCCAAGGGCACATGCCCAGGTTGCGGGCTCAATCCCCAGTAGGGGGGCGTACAAGAGGCAGCTAATCAGTGATTCTCATCATTGATGTCTCTTTCTTTCTCTCTCTCTCTCTCTCTCTCTCTCTCTCTCTCTCTCTCTCTTTCTCTCCCCCCTTCCTCTCTGAAATCAATAAAAATATATTTTAAAAAAACAACTAAAACCAACATAATTTTAAAAAGACAAAGTACAATGAGTTGAACATACCATGTGAATAGAAAATATGACTAAGGCATTAAATGAAGACAGAGGAGCACTTAATCATATGGAGTATAATCCACAATGAAAATGTATTTGCTGCGAGTCTTACTGTATCAAGTAACAAACCATCAAAACGAAAATGGAGAAAGTACAAAGAAAGCAACAGGTGTAACAAAAGAGACTCCTATCTCTTGATACTTGGCACGTAGGTATGAAAAAGTCAGATTATAAAAGCTGTTAATAAGAAAAAAATAATTATGTCCAAATCGTACCACAATTTATTTTCAAGTGTTCATAATACATTAAAAATTGTCCAGTTTCATTCAAAACAATCATTGTAATATATTTAAAAGTAAAAATGAAATAATGTATAAAGTTTTGCTAAAAGGAAAATTCACTGCCTTCAATAGTTATGGGATAAGTGAAAGTAAATCAGATAAGCAACTGAAGAAGTGAGGGGAAAAACTATAAAATGATTCAGAAATTATTATAATTTGTAAGGATATAGGCAGAAAATAATAATTGGAAAATGAAAATTGGAAAAAATAAAAACTGTAACTGTTAAGTCCAGGAGTTAGTTCTTTGAAGGGAAAAAAAAAACAATGGGAGAAAGCTTCTATAGACAGAGTTAGCAGTCAGATTGGGGAATGACATCTGATAGAAAATTAAAAATTATAAGAATGTTCTTTGTTCATCTCTGCAAAAAATTTTCAAAATCCTGGATAGTTATTTAAAAAATAACAAATAGCCTAAATAAAGCCCAGAAAGATAGAAAGAAAAAAGTATATACACAGGTTAATTACAATGAGAGAAATTAAGAAAGTTGATGAAGGATGCCTCTGAAAGTTTCATAGGTGGAATTCTTTCAAATATTGCAGAAGATTTTTCTTTTTAATTCCAATTTAGTATAAACTTTCCAGAGCACATAGAGAAGGAAGCTAAGATTTTTTTCTTAGGCCAATAAAACTCAGATAAAAGCACCAAAAATACTCGGCAGTCACATGATGTATCTAAGCAAAGCAAGGATAGTTCAACATTAGGTAATCTATTTGAATATGGGAAGCATTATTAAACATTAAGGGGGGGGAATCCTCATATCAGCAGGTATTGAAACATATTTAATAGAATTCAATATCTATTAATGGCTAAAAAACAAAAATCTTTAGTGAAAGTAGAAATAGCTGCATACTTCCTAATGCTATAACACTTAGACAGTGTTTCTCAACCTTGGCTGCACATTAGAATCACCTGGGAATCTTTTTAAAATCCTGATTCCTGGGCCTCATCCTCCGGAAATTCTGTTTCTTTGTTATGGGGTGGGGCCACAACATGAGTAACAAAGAAACAGAATTTCAGGAGGATGAGGCCCAGAAATCGGGATTTTAAAAAGATTCCTAGGTGATTCTAATGTGCAGCCAAGGTTGAGAACCACTGAATTAGAAGCATTCCTATTTAAAGGACAAGACAAGTAATTCCGCTGTCCACTATCACTGATACTATTAAATGATCTATAAGTGTGAATCAGTGCAATTAAATAAGAGGGGAAAGAGTATGAATATTAAAAGCCCCCCCACCAATATTGTTATACACCTGAGGAGGGAGATGGATAAAATAAATGGAAATGAAATATAGAAAAATTCAGTAAAGAATCTGGTTCATGAATTAATATTGAAGAAGCAATAGCGGGTAGACAGAGCGGCCGCTAAGTGAATTAATATTGAAGAAACAATAGCGGTTAGACAGAGCGGCCGGTTAGTGAAATAATATTGAAGAAGCAATAGCGGGTAGACGGAGCGAAGAGGCTGGAGGGGTAGCATACGGGTATGTGCGTGACCTGGTACGAACGTGACCGGGTATGAGCGTGACCTGGTATGAACGTGACCGCACGCATGCGTCGGGTTCCAGGATATCGGGAAGCGCATGCGCTGGGTGCCAGGATGCCCATAATGCCCCGCGTCTAACGCCTAAACCGCCAGTCAGCGCCACTCTCTGCCCTTCGCGCCTTTTCCTCAGAGCGAGAGCCCTCCCTCGCCTGGAGCCCGCGCTCTTTCTCTCAGCTTTTCCGCCACCTTCCGGCCGCCCCGGCCGCCCCGCCCTGCACTGCCGCCTCGTCGCGAAAGCCTCCTCGCGAAAGCCTCGTCAGAGCTCTCAGCCATGGCTTCAAACAACTTTATCTACATCACCCCAGAAGACATGGAGGAGGCTGTCGCGTTAATGGAATTACACCAGGTACACCTAGAGACTTTTGCTATGCAGAATATCTCTGTGGACGATTTTGCTTTGGAGAATATCGACATGGAGAGTATCGCCATGGACAATATCTCTTTGGAGAATATCGCCATGGACAATATTCCTTTAGAGGATATCTCTGAGGAGAATGTCGCTGTGGCGAATATCCCTTTGGCGGATATCTCTGAGGAAAATTTCGCTGTGGCGAATATCCCTTTGGCGGATATCGCTGAGGAGAATGTCGCTGTGGCGAATATCCCTTTGGAGGATATCTCTGAGGAGAATGTCGCTGTGGCGAATATCCCTTTGGCGGATATCGCTGAGGAGAATGTCGCTGTGGCGAATATCCCTTTGGCGGATATCGCTGAGGAGAATGTCGCTGTGGAGAATATTCCCGCGGAGCCCGCAGCGATGGAAACCGTTGAGTACCGGGATATCAGCGGCAGTTGGGTCCACGGTGGCCACCACAGTTCACCTCTGATTGCGCTGCAGCCGAACGAAGGGAACCACGACCAAGAAATGTTCATGGTGCAGACCCGGGAGGAAGTCGTGGGCTATTCCGAGTTCGACAACGAGCAGGCTAGCAACTTCCAGGAGCAGCAGGTGCCTGTCCCGGCGGAAGAAGAAGTCTACTTCCAGGAGACTCCGGCTTCCCTGTCAGATGCCGCGGCATCATCGCTCAAGAAGCTCAAGAAACTCCGCATCGGTCAGCAAAGCGCTGCCAGCCACGATCAGCAAAGCACCACTAACCGCGGTATGAAAAGCACCACCAGCGACGGTAAGCCAAGCAAGAAGCACAGCAGCCACGGCAAAAAGCTCAAAAAGCTCCGCATCGGCCAGCAAAGCGCCGCCAGCCACGATCAGCAAAGCACCACTAACCGCGATATGAAAAGCACCACCAGCACCGGCAAGCAAAGCGCCGGCAAGGGTAAGAAACGCACCGCCAAAAGCACGGCCGGGGCGGCGGGAGGCGGCGGCTCGGAGGGAGGCAACAGAAAGTGGGAGCAGAAGCAGGTGCAGGTCAAAACCCTAGAGGGTGAGTTCTCCGTCACCATGTGGTCCCAAGTTGGTGAAAGAGATCAGGAGATTGAAGAACAGAGTCCGGTGAACTTACCGAACTTAGCTCCTGATTATTCAGAGTATATGACGGGAAAGAAACTTCCTCCTGGAGGACTACCTGGCATTGACTTATCAGATCCCAAACAGCTGGCAGAATTTATTAAAGTTAAGCCTAAAAAGTGCGATGATGACATTCCAAGGACAGTACCTTGCCTTCATAAAGGCTGCGGAAAGATGTTCCGGGATTCCGCTTCTATGAGAAAACATCAGCACACCCACGGTCCTAAAGGCCACATATGTGCAGAATGTGGCAAAGGTTTTATTGAGAGCTCAAAACTAAAACGGCATCAACTGGTGCATTCTGGAGAGAAGCCCTATCAGTGCACATTTGAAGGGTGCGGAAAATACTTTTCCCTGGATTTCAATTCTGCGTACACATGTGAGAATCCATACAGGTGACAG